TGGCAAGCTTGTACTGGAACTTGACAACCCACTTTAGAAACTGCTGTTCTGCACAGGAAAAAGTGGGCATCACTGGAGATGTATGGAAGATGTCTGTGGGCCTGTCTTCAGCAGAGAACTGTTCCATCGTAACAGCCTGCTATAATGTGCACACCGCAAAATTTCCAACAGCACTGAACTCTGTGGGATTTCTGCTGGAGAATACTTTTGGCCCTCCACAAATGCCACCAGGAGATTCAAAACAGAGCTCAAGTGTAAGAAAAGACAGCTGAAAATAGACCACTTTACCCTCCCTTAGAAAAGGATAAACAGGTCTGTAATTAAGAAAATTGGATTTATACATGTATTATTTTTATAAAACAGATGCTTAACAACTCATATTGACCTGTAACACTGTAGTCTTCCTGTCTTCTGTTTTTCTATTTATTCACGCAAAGACACTTCTCTAATACAGAGACCAAAGACTGATTTTGCACATCACATCCACAGTAACAAAAGGAATAACTTGTGCTAGACTTTCATATGTGGAACATCTGCTTTATGAACACAAGTTCACAAGTTGCACACAAGGAAGTTAACAGGGCTGGAATGTCTTGGGAGCCTAGCCCTGGAAAAGACACAGCATAGTTGCATGGTTTCTAGCTGAATAAACTACTCATGCAGTACTCATACAGGTAGAGTAGTACTCTGCCAATTTTTCCTAGATTGCTTGCTTATCTGTTGATTACCAAGAAAATGAGTTGCATGGCAAAGTAAAAAACCAAGAAAAAACTCCTAACCTTAACTTCAGAAGAAGTACTCGCAAATACTAAAATTGATCTATTTTTAATGTTAGCTGTTTAAAAAATATATATCCTTTAACAACCTACTTAACCAGTAGGAGAGAAGGAAGAAACTAATCTATACTGATCTCATGTTAAGATTTTTTTGCCAAAGCTGATCCAAGGTGAACTCTGGAATCAAGTGCAGTATTTAATACGGTATCATTTGACCAATGTATTGCTGGGAGACAGAATGACCCAGTAGATATTTCTATCTGTAACTATTAGTATGATCCTTGAAATATGAACATTTAAGCCTCATGACACTGAAGTTTTTAATAATGAACATGATAAGGCATAACTATAGTACAACTAAGGCTAACATCAGTTTATTACTTTAATCTTTGGCTTGCTTTCTACTATTGCTATGGTTCCAACAAGAAGCCCTCTACTGCTAGATTTCTCTGAGAACACGTTCTGTCATATAGGGTTGGTTACCTTTTCAATTATCAAGGGAAAGAATTCATCTGCTTCCTTAAAGTAGAGCCAATGAGCCTTTCTAATAATGGCCAATTACAAAAAGATTCACTTTTCACTTCATGATAAACTAGACATCTATGTCCTCATCATGACCGTTTCCTGTGAAAAAAAGCGTGCTGCACAGCTCATGATGAAGAGGAAAAATACCAAAGAATTTGCTTTTTCCCCTCCAACTGCTTCAGGATTCTTCCTTGGTTTTCTTCATTTTTTATTTAATCCTTTCTTCCATGTCACTGCTTTAAGTTTACTCACATTTTAATGCAGCTGACAAATCATAAATTTCATATATACAAAATAATATTTCATAATCTCACATGCTAGTAAAATGTAAAAAATCAATATGAAAACAAATCCTATGTCACCTAATAATCATTGTTACTGGCTTAGCCTAGCTAAAAAAAATCCCTAATGATGGAGGCTAGTAAATTGTTTCAATTTCGCAGCCTACAGAGGTTTTCTGGTGGGCTTTCTTTTTGTTGTTTATTTGTTTTAAGAAATACATCATTATATTCCTTGTCTATTGTCTCCACTAAAAATAAGACACCTACATTAGGCCAAAGAGTTTCCTAAGATTTTCAGAGGTAGAAAGGGGAATGAACTACTTAGTTTGTCCACTTCACCCTGGTTTGGAAGTCACATTTTTCTTTCCGAAAGAATCAACAGGAATTACTGTAGTACTTTACATTAATCCACATCCTAGTATACTGACATTAATATTACTGTTTAAGTTTCTCAAACTTGGGTTTGTTCAAGGTTATATTTCACCATATTCACTAAAATTGGGCAACTGTGAACTGGTAGCCTAACAAAAATCCAAAATGTGCCAGATATGAGCTGCAGTCACGTCAGTTTAAACCACATTCAAGCATCACTCTGCGTACACATTTTGACGCATTAAAATAACCAACTTAATCTTTATGTGCATGAGGATTGAATCGTCCAATGGACACTGGGAATTTAAACTAGTGAAAATAACTGTGCTCTGCAGACAGTGGCACACTTTCCAGAGGTTCTCTGAGGGAAGCTTTAATTTGTGCTTAGGGCTTCATGGGAGCCCTAGAAGTAAAGGTGCCTTGGGGACATGCTGAATTCGAATCGCCATAACACGCATGCATGTGTGTGCGCAGGAGGCCACACTAGTCACAGGTAAGACAGACAAATCAAACGGTAGCATCCCCCACCAGCTTTTCTATTATCTGCCCCACTTTGTGCCAATTTCCTCCAGCTTCCCCAACACCTCTTGCTTTGCTGTTCTTCCTTAAGACATGGGATGGGGATTTGTCAAAGTCAATGAGCACTTTATTACAGTGAGAGTGCTCAGTAATGAACAATTCAGCAATTTAATGAGATTCTGTAGATCTGTCTCCAGCCTGTCCATCAAGTTTCACTTCTATAAAGCACCCTGACACTAATCCTCTGGCATACCCAATCTTCACCCTGGGCTGAATATTAGATTCTTCCATGGTATATTGCATTACCACTATAACCTTAGCAAAAATGATGAACTTAACTACACTTGAGGCAATATAGCTGGTCTGATTTGATTTTCTTCTATTGGGTTGACTATGAGGGAATTACTTATTTACTAAGATAAAGCAAAAAACCAGTTTCTTATTGCCTTCTGAATACCTAAATTGGTAAATATTTATGTGTGTCTTTTAATTCATTCTGGGGACCCAGAATATTTATAAATATATATTTATTCCTGGTTGTACAGACTGAATTAAAAAGACACATGCACGTTTTGCCTGCAGCGGAAAACTAGTTTAAAAAAATTCTTCCGAACAGCATTAGTAACCTTTAGAGAGGCAATTATGATAACACTTAAATGGACAGTGTGGAGTTTGTTGTCACTCAAAAAGCAGCACATTACCTATAAGTATCTCTCCTCAGTGTGACCCTGCAACAGAAACAGAACCTTTGTCATATTTGCCTCATGAAGTGTTCATTGACCGGCGTGCACACAAGGAAGAAAATGATATCCGAGTTCTTCCTGCAGGACAGGACAATGACACAAGATTTAAAAACTCCCACTTCCCAAACTTTGTTTCAGCAGGTTGCATAGGGCGTATTACTCTGTATATGCTTGTTCATTACTGAGCTGGCATTAAATAATACTCGTATGGCTTTCTGTAGCAACTTTTCTAGCAAAAGTATACCCAAGCATGTAGCTAGGAGATTTCACTAACCCTGCAGAGAAATTATGATAAAACCCAATTGGGCAATCAGCCATGCCCCATATATGAACTTGTACATTAAAACCTTTTCTGATAAAGGGAATGTGGGCTGGGACTCCAGAGTATCATGCCTAAAAAAACCCAAACCAAACCCACCATCATGGGTAGTGTGCAGCAGGTTCTGTTGTAGTACAGACATCCTCCAGAGACTAGGACAGGCAAGAGTCTAACTTTATATTAATATTTGCAGAAAATATCATCTTTGTAAAATACTCCATAATCTAAAGCCTCAAAGTTTCGGAAGCAAATATGCCAGTTATCAGACTGAAGGGTTAAGTTACATCTGCGTACTGTCTCTGTGGTTTGAAGAGCTTAACTAGACATTCTTATTTTTTAAGAATAAATATTTCGTTCCTGAATGATGTTATTCTCTACAGAACATGAAGTGCCCCACAGACAAACACACATTTTACACTTTGAGAAAACGATGGCATATAGATGAAATGATTTGCTTAGAATAATCCAAAAGATAAGTAGATAAATAACAGGGACTGAAATATAAATCAATCTTCTGACTCTCAGTCTTCTCTGTTGGACCAAGATAACCCACTTGCTTGAAGGAAACCCTGTGCTTTCTTTTTAGGAAGTTACATTCTACCTTGAAATACCCTGAAATACTTCCCTTCTATAAAACACGACAGCAAAAAGGAAACAGAAAGAAGTGTTTGGGTAACCAGTGTTATAGATATTTCCTTCTACTATATCGTGAACTGCGATTTTTACAGACATATGATGGGAATGTTTCCAAGGACAGATTTTGGTTTAGTTTTTGTGTTTCTCTTTACAGGCTATGTAAAGTTTCTCATATCAGGTTTCCCACCCCACCCCCCTCCACACTAAAGTTCACAACATAATGCTTTTATCTTGTTAATATTCTATGGCTAGCAACCTGGTCCTTTTCTAAAGCCAGCTCTTCTTAAAGAAATGATCACCACCTCCAGCTTCTTGCCACAAACCTTCCACTGATGCCTCCACTCATCTCTGAGCAGAGCAGCACGTGTGATGATTCGCTAATTTGCTTCAGGCAAAGTCAGCTGTAGTGGCCTAGACAATTTAAATGACTACTGAAGTTACACAGCTAAGTTTGCCTGAAGTGAATGGGAGAGACTGCAGAAGCAGGTTTGCTGCCAGACTTGTGGCACTAGCCTCACCAGAGGCAACGATAAATGAGTTGCATGTATTGGACATCTCTTCCCCCCAACAAAGTTGGATCTGGAAGAAAATCTCTGGCCACATCCGAGTAACACAAGTTAAGCAGTAAGACAAATTTCTCTTTCAAACAAACTAATTGCATTAACACAACATTTTTTGAATTTCATTTAAAAATTTCCCTCAGTTGTTATTCACAGTTTTTGCTCAAGCGCTTATTCTCCCTCGAGATTGCTCCAGGGTTTCAAAACAACAGATTACTGCTGTGGTTTATAGAGTATCACACATTCTGCTTGTTCACCAATCTCCTTACCTGCCAGATTTGTTCTTCACTGAGTGAAGTGAGTCTATCGCTTTTAAAAACCTCTCGAAGGAGACAGTATGGGAGTGCCAGAACTTCTTCAGGATGACTCTTCAATAGCTCAGAGAGATGTTTTACTAAGAAGTCAACCACTGCATTCTCCAACAAAGTGAGGTTGAAGAGGTCCGCAAGCTTATACAGGTCCAAGTAATTAAAACTATTTAATTCCTAAATGGGTGAAGCAAACAAAATACGTCTCAGAAAAAAAAAAACAAAAAAACAAACCACAAAACAGAGAACAAAAAACCCCACAGGTCTCAGATAATGAAAAAAGGTTGTTCATTTGGAGCTGTGGAGAAGGAAGGTAATATAACTTGAAATTAATTAACACAGCCTTATTCAAAATGTATGTGTAAATGTTACCTGTGCATATGCAAATATATATGATGGTACTAATTTATATTACAACTGCTAAGGTTATATATGCATACAGCATCTGTAAGAAATACGGATTAGTACATAAAACAGTATGATCTACGCTGTATGACAGGAGCTTGCAGAGTTAACAAATGGATTAAAAAAATGTATTTGTTAACTACAACGGTTTGTTACAAAGCAATTGTTTGTTCATTATTTACTGTTTAGATCGAGCTAGAGCACCTGTGCAGAACAACTTTTAGTTCCATGAAACCTCACAAAATATGAGATGCTGAGCTACGTTTTATTACGTATAAATTTATCTTCAATGAACAAATAGGCCCTTTTTTTCCAATCACTGACATCAACCTATAGCGGATGTTGGCCTCGTATTCTTTCTCCCCCTCCTTCTAGCAGCAGAAAATCTGCAGAGACAAAAGCTACACTAACTCAGTGCAGGAAGTTTTTTCCATCCTGGTAACAGATAACCTATATTTACAGGCTAATGTTTTCAACTTGGCATCCCTTGTAAATTAGCATCTGGACAGCTAACTGCTTCTATTCTAGACCATACGCTCTCTTCAGGGGAGAGGCCAAGAATTCATCCGTATTAGAGAAAAGCGCCCAGGACGTCTGGGAAATAAGCATGTTTACCCGTTTTCTCTGTTCTTGCTGTATGCTCACACTTCTCTTCCTCTCCCCTCCGCAATCCTGGTTTTCATCTTCCAATTTACCGCATTGCTCCCCATCGGCCGCCTTCTCCTTGACCAGCTCCACGTGTGAAAATGACAAGAAGTCTTGTCAGTTTCACTTTGCTGGTTAGTTAACGCAGGGACTAGAGCAGGAAAGAGAAACAGACTAAATTAAGTCAATTTCACTTTCACTGCTCTGCTGGATGGAATGGCAGCACCAAATGAAACTGACAAGAAATCTTGTAAATGTCAAATGAGCTGCACGGCTGGCAGATAGAGCAGAGCAACAGGGAAGATGGGAAAGTGCGAAGAGGGGGTTTTTTGGAATGTTTTATGGACTACATCTTGAACGTGTGAATTGGGTGGCTGTCCCAATGACTGTGGAGCTGTTTATGCATATGCAATGGAGAGTGGAGAAAGAATTTTTTTCACCTGCTTAGAGGAGTCAGTACTGGAGGAAACGGAATCAAATTCCTGTGGAGGCTCCTGCTTGTTACATAATCTCCCAGTCTGAGCAGCGCACCTTCCCTGGCAGGCTTGTACATTACAGATAAATCCTATTCATTATCTGCTTAAACCGCTGCATAGGAGTTTCACGTTCTTTTCTTGGAAGAACAAAGAAACGTTCTTTACGTTGCCAGAACGAGCACCAACAGCCGTCATCCCAAAAGCCGCAGATAGGCTAGTGTCAGTTCCTCTTCACACTAACATAGAGGAGGTAAGGATAAATCCTCCCCAATTGCAGAAAGAGAGAGAAAGGAATGAATTTTACATGAGAAGTATCTGGTCTGTGTGCTTGCTCGGTGATTTCATGTCTGCAGATCACAGATGGTACCTCACACCACCACTTCTGTGATGGCCATGCAGTGGTGGCAACAACGCATAGGAGCATAATCAAACTCCACATCATGGTTGTTGCTTGTCAAATGCTGTGGTTTATTGTCCCTAGTTTGGAAGACTATCTTTTCAAAGAACTCCCTAACTGAATGAATGCCAAACATTCAGAAAGAGATTTAGAAGAGCTCAGTGTGTTTTTATTGAACTCTTTTGTAGTCAACAGCTATATCTGGGGAGGATTAAAATAAACAAATAAACAATCAAGCATTGTGATCTGAGGATCAACAGCCCAACTAAAATACAGGCCTGATCAAACCCCACTAAGTGTCAATGAAGAAGGACAGACAGCTTTTGGTGGACATTCTTCTGAAGTGGACAATACTGGAGATACCATAACAAAATCTTTCCTCGTTAGAGAGAAACAGTAATATGACACATAAATGCAGTTTTCCCCTGAAAAATCTTCACATTTTCAGTGAAATCTGAAAGGCACTGGTAAGCCTTCATTTTTGGTTTGGGTATTTTTGATGATCCCCCAAACTCCCCTATCCCCTCAAATCAACTCCAACTGAAGTTTTTTATGAAAGCTGTCATACAGTTGAAGAGGCCAAATATACTTTCTTCCGGTACTGTATCGCAGTATACGTTCTTTAAAAACATGCAATACAAAACAGGCTTACGTAAATTACTGAAACTTTTAATCTTGTTTTTATAAACTTTTAAATATATACCTCTTATCTTTTTTGAACTGAAGGATGAAATATGAACACAAGCAGAACTGTCACTAAGAGCTGAAGAGAATTAGGGAAAGGTAGTGATCCTATCTCTTCTAATATGATGTATGTTACACCGCCGAAACACATTCTGACTAAGAAAATACGTGTAAGATTATATATACAGATCTTACTACTAACAGTTGAAATAGTTGTAAAGTCTCACAGCAAATTCAAACCAATTTAATAAATTGGCCAATTGTTTGTCAGTGTCTACTTCTAAAATGAGAAACTATCTTTGATCCTATGCATGCTACTTACTATACATCCCCCTGCTTCCCCGCTCTCTGAACTAAGAGAACCCATTGTTCTACACTACTGGTCTTTTGATTCAGCAGTATCAACCTTTAGATGTCAAACCAATTTAACAACGAGCTGACATTTAAAACCCTCGTAAAAGAAAATCAGTTTTCCGAACAAACATAATCTGAAAGTCGACAATATTAAATATTCAAAATAAATGATGTGACACTGTCCGTGTTTTAATACGGAGGTGTATTTTAATATAGAGATATGATAAATTGTCAAACAGCAATAATAGATATAAACATTGTATTTAAATTACTTCCAAATCCATCTTTATTCGTTTGTACTTTAAAGAATAATTGCCTTGCACAAGCCACAGAAAAGGATGTAAGTAACAGATTGATAAATTAGAGTTAATCATAACCAAGTACACAGCAGACTACAATATACTTCTGTTCCTCTGCTACATGTTATAAATAGCAGAAAAAGCACAAGGAGAACTAAGGGGAAAGAATGCATTTCTTTATGACCTTATTTGAAAGATAAACTCCTTGGGGAAATACAATTTATTCAGATTATCAAGACCCTGCTGTGCAAATCTACAGTCTGGGAGCACACTACAGAGATCAAACAATATTTACTTTATTCTGTTGGGTATAAAAGCTTTTAATGAATGCATAATTAAGACAGAAAAAGTATATACAGCTTTAGAATTCCACTGCCAAGCCAAGCCATTAATATCCAAAGTATCGTACCCAGTTGTAACTCCACCTGCTTCCTATTTAGATTACAACACTGTTGTAAATCAAGGTATTAAATGACTAGCCCTGCTGCTGTAACAGAGAAGAGCTGCACGGTGACACTATTTCCCCTTTCCCTAAAAGGGGTTCAGCCTCTTTAAAGCAAAAAAGGAAGTGTGAGGTCTTTGGGACAGGGATGTGTTTATTCAAAATCCTTAAGCAGCACCTAGCACAACAGGGTCTTGACCCCAAGTCCTCCAGGTTCTCTGCTATGTTAAATACTATGAACCAGCTGCACCATTCAGAAGAGAACCTTGACATAAATCACAGCAAAGACAGACTCTAAATAGATAAGGGATAGTAACAAAATGAAAAATTGTAGTGACAAAAATATACTTATCTGACACAAAAGGGATCAACACAATTTTAAGAGAAAGGGAATCTGGTTCTGTTGGTTCTAGCTCTTCCTTTCTGTATCAAAAGGTTCTAGTTCTGCAAAACCTCACACATTTACCTAAGAACTAACAGATCATTCACGTACTCAACAGCACATACCTATTTCATACTAAGCACAAATCCTTCAAAAACTGTATTTTAGATCTTATTTGAAATTTTTTCTTCACTAAACACCAAAGCCATCCAGTTGAACCATGAAAGACATTTTGCTGAAGCCTGGTCACAGTGGAACAGCTGGGTCAGAATTTTGCGATGTATAAAACTGTGTTTACATTTATTACAAGATCAGTGCAGACTGTAGATGTATTTATAGGCACAGTAAAGGATGACTTTTTAAATGACTCATTTTATAAAATTGATTCTTCTGGTAGATCACTGCTTTCTCAACACTTTCTGTAAGTCTTGCTTTTGTTTTCTCTTTTAAGCATGAAAAGTTATTTCACATCCTTGCTGTTATTTCAAAGTAGGTCTGGAGCTAAGTACAAAAGCAACAATATCAAAATATTTCAGCCCTACTATTTTCCCTCTTCCCTATGAGAATTCATTTCCCCTCTCGCTTAGTGTTTCCCTATACCTGCTTAGTTTCAATCCTGCTGGCTAGTGCTAGTGAGCACCCTCTTCAAAGGCACGGAGGAGGCCTGTGACCTTCACAAGCACAGTGGAAAGACATGACATTCTCAGATTGCTCACGTGATGAGACATATGTCTGGTCTTTGGAAAAAAAAAAGCAAAACATGCCATATGCAGATACTCAAAAGTAAAACCAAAAAAGTAAACATTTTCTAGAATCTCAGATAGATTAATTTACGTCATTAAATAGTACAAATATTTTCAAATGGCAATCCAATTAAATCTTTTAAGGGACCCTGATTATACATACCTTTCATATATTGCATACATGATTATGTGTATCATGGAAAAAAATTTAATAATGAATCATTAAGACTACACAGTTAAAGTTTCATGGTAACATTGGAACAACCCCACAGGTAAGGTTCTGCAGAGTTTCCAACAGCTGCTTTCCCTTGCTAAACAGATGCTGCTGTGGGAATTTTTTAATTTTTTTT